GCCCACATTCACACTCCAATTATGCAGATTAACTCTCTCCGCCACACTGCAATCACTACACATTTTAACAGAGAGAGAGAGAAAGATGGAGAAGATATGGTCAGGAAGAGATGGAAATGTTTTTGGGTTTCTGTTCGCAATGAAGGGGTTACTCAACATACTCAAATTTAAACTCAGTGTTCCCGCTTGAAAAATATGGAAGTGCTTACACTCTCAGCTTTCTGATTGGTGGGATTCAGGGACCAATGGGACACTTCCCATTTGGGTGGGAAATATATAATGCAGCTCTCTGTGCTGTATTCCCACTGCTGGCCGCTTCTGCTATCTGTCTGAAAATGAGTCTTCTCACAGTTCTTCTACATGCCAAACTAGGATGTATGGATGTAGATATAGATAACACTTTATAGTCAAGGTTAATCAAATTAGAAAATAACATTTTTTGGGGAAAAAAATGATATAGTTTCCTCTCAACCTCCTTAAAATTAAACAGTATTTAAGATTTATTTATTTTGAATATACTGTTGAACATGTATTGTGTAAAGATGTACTACTATAAAGATTTTGATTGATACTTATTAAGCAATAATTATTTTCATGTTATAGCCGATAATTATAAAAAAAAATTGGCCAATAATAAATTCTATGCTATTTGGTCTAAATACATTAAAAATAAAACACTAAAAAGTTCAATGTTACATGAATTTAGGAATCCCGACAGAATGTAAAGTATGAAAAATGGATATTCATTTTGAAATTTGCTAAAGATTACATTTAGCACGGTTATTAAATTATTAGGGTTTTAAAAAATTTACTTTAGGTGAGTGTTAGATGATGTCAGACTTAATATAAAAGTAAAAATAGAGGAAATTAGCAAAATTTAAATTAGCAGAACGTGAGAGAAGAAAAATATCTAAATCTACCAAGAGCAAGGCATCCTTTTTATTATCAAAGGTTTAAAATTATTTAATTAAATTAAGTCCAGAAAAATTAAAACAAGAAGTCACAGAACTTGAGAAAAATAAAATAAAACATTTCATAATGTCCTAAAAAAAACAATTTAGTACAGATATAACATGCATCCCTATTATGCGTGTGTGATGCATATAGTGCATGAATATTTGCTGTGTTGTGATGGGCCAGAATTGGTCTCAGGCTGATAATATTAACTCATTCTCTTGGACTGTCTTTCTTTGTAAACATCATAGAACTCTGCATAAGACACACAGTGTCTTGTCATTTGCCCTGATGCTCTAAAAATAAAATATTAAATAATTTATGGGCTTTTGGGTCTATTGACCCAAGCAGCATCACACGTAACATTCATTTCCAATGTACATATTCACACAAACTGGCGAGTTTCCAGCATGGGATAGAATAAGATGCTCATCGTGCTAAATACATGCTAATACAACCCTGATCAAACATCTTTTGTCTGTGGAGATCGCAGCCCTGCCAAAGACTGACAATACCAAACCCAGCACGAAAACACATCCCGAGCTCTCTCTCCAAAACCTCCACAATGATCTCTCCATACAGCTGGAGGACATTAGAATATGAATAACTGTGTCAGGAAATGCAACAGCTGAGCAGACGAGGTTACGACAGGACCTTTTTTTTAATTATTATTTTTGAAGGTGTAGGGATTTCTATCATGAACGGACACTGATATGCCACTGAAGTTCTTATAACTTGTAGAAATACTCCCCACGAACAGCATGTGACTTGTGCACGAAAAAGGAACCACACAGGGCGTGGCTAAGCCCCGCAGCCACTAACTGATTGGAACAACGACCAGTGGGACGGACTTACACCGCGGATCAAAACCACACTGCAACACAGATTCAATAGCTTCTCGCTCGCTCTCTCTCTAGAATTGTGGCTTTCCGCCTTGGGGACCGCGCGACAAAGCGCTCCTATGCCGTAACATTGCACAAGCGAGACTCCAGAACTCAAACACTTCAGTTGAAACTCCGCGACTGCCGAACTTCAAATCCCAAAGCCAAGCAAAGGAACTCTCAGAAGAACTTTGAGGCTCCTCCGTAACCTGGCAACCAACCAATCCAACGAGGGCTCTCCCAAAAGGACGTCATCCTGAC